TTAGTTTAGTCATTGAAACAGGAGGACAAACTAAATTCACATTACTGTGATCCGTAGATGCAAGTAGAGCCACAGTTCAGCAGCAGTGTGGTCTCTATCTAAATGACACTTTGGCAACCAGGATCTGACAGGAATCAGTCTGCCATCTGCTCACCCAAACGTGTCAGTGACATTCCAAAATCCCTCAACTAAAATAAACCACTCAGAAGCCAGAGATCAAAGTGTCTCTTCAAGGATGATGCAATCAGCCTTCCAGGGCGCCCCAGTAGCTCACCGGGTGGCGTGTGTACCAAATATCAAGGCTGACTTCTTTCCGCAGCGGCCTGGCCTCGAATCCAGCCCCTTGCTTCATGTCGCCGCCTTCCTCACTCAACCTTTCCTGTCACTCTCTACCATCACTACAGTATCTAAATAAATCACAATGCCAATATATATATATTTTTTAAATCAGCCTTCCAGGTAGACTGGTGAGATGACTGATGTTTCTATTTGTTCGGTCTGTGGTGCCAGCGATGGTGGCAAGGCCTGTGGACAGATGGCAGGAAGATTGTTTCTATCAGTCATGAGAGTGGCACGAGTTGACTCTTGACTTGTTATATCACACAGTATGTCGTTCTCTGAGATAAATTCAGCTCAGACAGGGACTCAGTCCAAAGCCTGTAACATTATGGAAGGTAGAAGAAGCAAAGTCACATTCACATGCCGTATCCCAACTTAATAGCACAGTCTGACTACTTTGACATCCAGCCTCGGACCTTGTTGGGGTGTGACATGGCCCAGGGGTGACCTCCACTACTGAAAATCGCCACCTTGTCATATTGGCCATTATGACTTCCAGTTACTGAGTCACCTCTCCAGTGGTAGATGGTCTGAAACTGCAATAGGCTTTAGGGAGTGTTGGCCCAACTGACAGAGTGTGGCGAGATGAGCAACCTCTGAAGCGAGGATAAACTTCAGTGGTGGGAAATGACATGGTTGCCTCTTTAAGCTCTGGTCATTTCATAGCTCGACATGCGTGTGGAGCCCTGATGGTGGAGGGGGTGGCATTATATCTCACCAGTCCCTTCTAATGTTGTGCGTGATGATCATCATTACAACCGTCAGCGTGTTCAGCACCAGTGGCACCTTCGTTCTGGGGTCCTGGAGTGCTTTGATCATATCAAGTTTCCTGAGAGAAAGCTTGAAATGAAAAGAGGCCTCCAGACTGTGCAGCGGTGTTTCTCTAATGACCTCGCCACATCTCAAAAATAGTTGGCAATTTAGGAGATCTAAAAATGTATCTTGAGGTCATTTTGCAGTCCTTCAAATATGTTATTGCGAAACGTGAACCAAAACAGCGCAGAGAATATTAATCTGCTGTACAATTAAAGCAGCTATTATCAACAGTTGATTAGCCTGGGAACCAGATCAATCTGTGAGCTCATGTTTTTTTTTGCTCTTGCACAGTGGTTCCCAGCCTTTTTCCTTAAGGGTCCCCTTTTCTGTCATTTAGTAAACTTACGACCCCTGCTTAAGTGACATGTTTTATGGATAGTCCATAATATATTAATAACTGTACAATTAACCCAAATAGTGAAGTCAGTAACTGAAAGACCTTTGTGTTAAAGGAGTGATGTGGATGAATTTTTTGCAGATTATTTCCTGTTCAGGGAACTTTTTACAAATCTGTCTATATTTTGTATTTTTAGTCATTTTAAACAATTATACAGTCTTAATAGGCTTCTGTTTTGACAAATTCTGTGTTTCATGTCCACGATGCTTGATCATTGTTCTATTAGACAATTTACTTTAGTTTTCTTTACAGAAGTGAACCAAATGTTGAGATATAGGCCCCCTGTGTGTATTGTTTAAAATGTCTTACACCTCTTAAAATCAAGAAAGCCTTGCTACCTCCCTGAAGCTTTGGCGACACCCAGGTTGGGAACTACTGCTCTAGTAGATGTCTGGCCACTGTCCCATTCAAACAGACTTCCATTAGCCAATCAAAACTATTTATCTAATATGGTGTGGGTTTTATACGATGATTGTACAGAGGGGTGCAACCTTATTGGCCATTTCTGTAAACAACCAAGATGGCTGCCACTGTGTGGAACTGATTCTGTCAATCCATTATCACGTCAATAATAAACAAACTGGACGGTTTATTTTCTCTAAAAGAAGAACAAGCATCTGCATTTGGTCAATTTAATGTATGCTACATCACACGTTTCATTGCTCTGATTGGTTGTAGGTCTATCCAGTTTCATCCAGAGGCATTATGGTCTGTCCCTGTTGACAGATAGAGGTTCCAAATGCGAACAGTCTTTCGATGCCAGGCTACATTTCTACAATAACAATGTATCAAATGACAATGTGAAAACAATGTGACCATGGGGTGATGAATCTACAGAAAATGATCACCCAAATCTGCACCTCCTTTTGACTTTACAGAGCTTTATAACAAGTTTCAGCTCATTGTTTGGGTGTTTGGCCCACAACTTTACTGTTTTGGTTCACTCTTAGTGCTCTCATGGCATTGTTTCTGGTCTCAGCAGGCAGCTGTTTTCAGAAAAAAGCCCTAAAAACCTAACTGCTCGTCACCTAACACAGACAGACACAGTTGGTGACTAGTTGGTGAATGTAATGGAGCATTTAGCAGCTACAGAGCCAGATATTTCCCTCAGGAGTTGGTGGTTTGCTCCATAACTGCTGGATGCATAAATAAGTTGCTTGATAGCAACTTAGAAGGTGATGATATGTCAGTGTTGTGTTCACAACTTGTTTTCGCTGCCCCCAAGTGGGCAAAACAATCATTTATTACAACTTTCAGTACATTCTGACTTGGACAAGCAATATCACTTATAATAGATACCAATCAGAGATGGAAATGCATTCCCATTCACTACAAAAACACTTCACAGCACTAGAAAAAAGATTGAAATCACAGAGAGACGATGTGAAGGGGGGATTCATGTTCAAACCCGATAACTTATTCATCTTTACAGGACATGAAACAATCAATGGACTTAATGCCTTTAAATGTGTGTGTGTGTGTGTGTGTGTGTGTGTGTGTGTGTGTGTGTGTGTGTGTGTGTGTGTGTGTGTGTGTGTGTGTGTGTGTGTCTTTCTACCCATTAACTAGCACCAGTACAAGCACAGGAGGGGATGAAGACTACAGTTCAGAACATGATTGTATACACCATGGCAGTTTTATTACCTAAATCCTTCTTTCTCATACCACCCACTTTCCAAGCCATCCATTAATAGACAAAACTCCATTTGCACTCCAACAGCATTATCTTCACAGACTAAGTATGGTATTACGGTGAAAGACCACAGCACTGCTGAGAATAGAATAGAATTTGCTTGTGAACCCATGAATCAGACCGTTGTTTCTCTTGGCTTCATGGCCTTCAGGGAGGGTAGGTTGCTCTATAGCAGCAGACAGCGTATTGTGACGCAGTGGTATAACTGTAAAAATAAAGTTAGTGTGTAATTTCACATATTGAGGCACAGGCAGTAGAAATCTTGTAGGGAAATGATTGATGGACAGTGGAGCAAAGAGAGTGGCCAGATTGGAAAACAGGCTGCAGCATGGACAATCATTTTCACATTATAACGCTTTATTCATGTTGTATAATCATTTTCAGAACATGACTTGAAAAATACCTAACTACTGTAACTACCTGAGTCAAAAAAAAGCATTTTATCACCCTGAACTCTCAAATCAAATGCAAGGTCCACAGTACAGACTACACACCTGCATAATTAAAATATTTTCAGCCCCATTAAGCTGTGAACTATCTTCAGAGCATCATTCTGGCCTATTTAATGAAGTCAGCTGAAACTAGAAGATGTTAAGAGCACAGACTCACTCCTCCCTCTCAGTTGACTGTGTACAGTAGTAGTGTGTGGGAGTTTTGGCTTGGCTGACCAGCATAGCCTCTCCAGGGTGCCAGAGAATTCTCCAGCTGGCCGAAGAGCCAGCTCGAAATAAATATACGCTCCTTTACATCCAAGGAATTGTGAGGACCCTCTTGCTCTTTTAGCAGGTAACTCCGGGGAACCCCAGAGGTGACTCAAACCCCCCAGCAACAATTTTTCAGCAGCTGAGGTCGCAATCTAATTAGCTTTATTTGGATTTCTCGTATCTCCAGAGGCCGCTGTGGAGAGTTTTCACGATAATCAGCAGCTTGATCAGTCCTTTGATAATCTGAAAGATAAAATGCTTTGGACAAGTTTGTCTTCACAATTTCATTCCTTGAGTGAAATTGAGTGAAAAGTCAGTAGCTAACTTAAAAATGTGGCTGTCTTAAAGGCCAAACTGTTTTGGTTGTTTCACACAGTTTTAATTTCGACTTTTCTTTTTTTAACTGGTTGGGAATCAGTTGGAAAAAAGTGAGGCAGCACCCATCAGGATTAACATTGGAATTAAAATGCAGTGTGGGGTTGATGATGATGTGCTACACTTCTGAGTGTTAATAATTAATGCATTTTTCAGCAAGCTTTGACTTTTACTTAAACTTAGTAATTTAAAAATGAATATATTCAATGTTAAAAATACTTGAAAACTACATTTTCTGGTGCTTTAAGTCATCAGTTTTAGGAAGATTGCTTCAATGGCTACATAGGGATAAAAAAAATATGTAAGCATAAGTGAGCATTTGGGTGGATGAGAAGAGAGGTTGGGGAAGACTAAAGTTTGAAACATTTAACAGCACATGTTTAACAAGAGACCCAGAATGAGAGAAATTAATGGAGAAAATAACTATGTCAAACATACTTGAAGTAGGTGGGGTGCACAAATACATACTGGAAGCAAAAACACTTTTTGGAAAGCAAAGCCACCCCTCACTATCCTGAGTCTTATTTATGAAACTCAATGTGTCCATCTGCTGGCTGTTAGTGGGTCTGCCATGACGTCATCTTCTGGCACAATGAGTTGACACAATGAGAACGTACATCTGCTGCAAGATAAACAGCTTGTGATAAACACAGAAAGAGACCGACAGTAAATCAAATACATTATAGTAAAATGTTTTATTCAAAAGCGTCCCAAGTAGAATCCTTTATCATATCTTACAAACACCTGGTATACACCAAAAAAAAAAGGACAAAGTGGGTGAGAAGTTTACAGAGAAAACAAACAGGAGAACCAACTTTCATTTCTTAAGAGACAAAAAGAAAATCCAACCTGATTGGCAAACTAGAAGACAAACATAAACTCCAACCTTCATCCCTATCGAAGCCCTCAACCATTATCAGGGAGCCACGTTTGGACCATTAATTCAAACATTATCTCAAATGAAAATATGGGCGTATGTGAGGAACCTGCTGAGACCATTCTCTGTAAAAGTGAAATGATCGGACAATGCTACAGGGAGGAGGGTAAGCCTGTGCTGTAATTAGTCTCAAACATCAAGACTCTAGTTGGCATTGAAAGGTATCATAAGCTCACATTGAAAATAATGTTATTTTCTCACCTCCTCACTCTGACATTGTTGAAAGAAATTAAATTACATCATCATTATTTATTTGAAAATTGTATAATCTAATGTTTAGTGCAGCTTCTCTTCATCAAAACTAATCTGTTTAATTTGAAATTAAAGTTTCACATAATGAGTTAAATCTTTCCCTATAGATGAACTTGTGCAATACTTAATTCTTTACAGTTTAGTCATAGTTACACAAAGAAAAGCAAAGAAAATAAAAAAGGTCAACAAGTACATGATTAGGATCATCAATAAGGACGCATTTCACATTCATGGAAATCAATGGTATCCTGTTAGCACACATAAGCCCAAATATATCAGCTCTGTGCACCATGCTTCAGCTTGTTCCCCGCACGCAAGTCCCATGTTGAGCTACTTATAGTAAAAAAGTTGTGGCGTTTCACTGAAGGAGGCAATGTAGAAGATACACTGTCTTCAAACTGTAAAGTAGCAGCTTGATTTAGTTCAAGACAAATCATACAAAAACAAGTACAGATTCATCACAGACATGCTCAGAAACTCTGCCTAAAGCTTCTGATTTGACAACTTTGACATTCCCTAAACTCAACACAGGTGTCACATTGAACATTTTCCTCCAGATCTCATCATCAAAATAATTGCAAGACAAGGAATGAGGATCATTCTGATTTCGAAATGGGACTCCATGTGGGGAACAAGAGAGGGGCTCATTATCTCCTGAGCAAAGAGATGCAGCGATGATGCACACGAGTGAGGTCCAGAATAACTTAACTCTGCACCTCTGAGAAATGTATTCGGCAATTTCCAATCAGGCAGTGACGCCCAGCAGATACTGATGTGGTGGAAAGTAAAGCTAGCAGATGTGTGGGTGTCCACAGGTGACTGAGCATCAATGGTTGGGCTTTGAACATGGCTGGTGTTGGTTAAAGACTGGTAAAAATGAAATGTTACGGACATAAAAAATACAATTAACAGTCATTCTTTTCTGTTAGAACAGCATTAACCAACTAAACACAAACTGACATCATAAAGCATCAATAAATAAATGGGACATTTCACTGACTGCACTTAATTTTGGGAAAACCAATTTTCTGGTAAGGCTGGCGTAGTTGTTTTTACATTCATGGGAACGAGACTGTTAACTAAGTACCACCTCGTACCACGGTGTGGTCACACCTGCGGCACAGAGACACAAGACACATAGTACTTGAACTGCTTTACAATCAAGCTAAGAAAGGCACTGGAATAATGTTATACCACATTAGATTCTTATGCTCTCAGTTATCCATCTTGAAAAAGGTAAAAATCTAAAAAATCTTTTCTTGGACATCATTTGTTTTTGAAAAATAAAGTTTGACATACTTAAAAAAATTATTTTTTTGCACCTTTGACTCATTTTAGCAAGGACTGTTTACAAAAAGTAATTTGCTATAAAAAAAAAAATGCTTATGGCATTTTGGTTATCAAATTTGATTGACACCATCTGCACTAAAAAATCTTGTAAGAACATGAAGACATTAACTATGATTTTGTGCGAGAGGAAAACAATTATTTGAGTCCTTATGGCCAAAAACCAGTTTGAGTTTTAAAAGTTTGTCGAAATGCTTCATTGATCTGCTACAAAAGCAGAAAATGTTAAGTGGCCCACGAAGAGGAAAAAGACACAAAACAAATATAAATTAGTGCTCTGTGTTGACAAATACTACCAGAAGAGAAAATGGATGACAGAAAACAAAAATAATGTGTGTGTGTGTGTGTATGTGTGCGTCTATGTGTACACACACACACACACACACACACACACACACACACACACGCACACACAAACAAAGAAAAGAAATTACTAGGTGGGTCACAGTGCTATCCATTTGGACAGGGATGTGTCTGTTACTACAGGTGAAAGGACAGCGCGCTACATTTAACAGTGCCATCTTCCATCGGTAAAACAGCACTTATGGAAGTCATAGTCCTCCCGACATGATAAGGGTCACTGGATGTCCAATTTGCTGTACTTCACACCGCGGTTCCACTGCAGCGCTCGCCATGACGACGGGAGCTGATAGTTACGAGGGACCGTGCCGTTGACGTTCGCTTCAAAGTATTGGAACAGTCTGTACCACCACACCCGCGAGAAAGGGTTACTCTGAGACGTCTCCTTCAGTGACTGAAACAGAAGACATATACGTGGTTATTGGGGTCATTAAATATCTAACGCAAATTTCCTCATCAGTTAATTTATGGTTAGAGCAATTTACTTCCAATTCCAATTATTAATTTCACATTGTGTCAACTGTACTTTTTGAATAAGCATATTTCCCAAAATATAGAACTATTTCCTTTAAAAAGGCCCAGTGTGTGACATTTAGGAAGATCTATTGGCAGAAATGGAATATTATATTCATTGGCATGTTTTCATTAATGTATAAATCACCTGAAAATAACAGCTGTTGTGTTTTTGTTCCCTTAGAATGAAGCGTTTTTATCTAGGAGAGAGGGCGGGTCCTGTTGAACTACCATGCTTCTACAGTAGGCCAAAACAGACAAAACAAACACTGGCTCTAGATAGGGACACTGCAGTTTCTCCGACACGCTTAGAAGGCTGAGCTGACTGGTATCTGCAACTTTACAGCTAGATGCTACTACATCCTACACACTGGTTCTCTAAAGGTGTAACGGCTTCTGTATAAAAAGTATAATGACAGTTAATAGATTTTTATCTTATCGCGATATATTTCATCATGTTGCCTAAACCTTTGTTAACATTATATTCTTTACTGCCTACTACAAAAGACACAATTTTAAGAATTCATTATTCCAGATTGCCTTTGTGTGCAATACTCTTTGTCGCCTAAGCACTAAAACACAGGTTCCAGTTTGTTTATTAGAAGGTAAAAAAAAAAATGAGGACTAGTGAGAAAGTTTACTGCATAAACCCATGTGCCTATTTACTTAATTGGATTTTGAATGAAAATAAAAGTTAAGGGACAACTTGTGCAGCATATGGCACTCACCTGCTGGTTGGCCATAGTGTGGTACCACCAAAAGAGGCGTGTAGTGATAAAATATGCAACCACCACATCCACAGTGTAGTGGTCATGTGCCAGAAGGATGCAGAAAATCCCCACAGCACTCAACACCCAGCAAAACCAGTGGTACCACCAGAACCGCTTGGGAGAATCTGCCAATCATGAAAAAAAACAAAACACACAAGCAGGTTAAACACAAATCAAACCGAACAGTATCAAGTCTAGAGAAGAGGGTGAATTCTCTTCAACAGCTGAGAGGGCCATTAGGGGAAAACACTGCATTTGGCCTCAAAAGTTCAGAAGTGGCACTGTTGCTTTTTTGCAGAAATGTTAGCTGAACTGTTCTCCTTCTCGCCACTAGATGTCACTGCTGTATCAATCAGGTTTATGCTGGAAAAGCATTGGACTACCATGTGATGTAGCAGAGGAAAGTAACAGTTTGAGTGAGAAATGTAATAATGTCTACCACTAGACCAAGCGGTTAAACTGCTACAACTTCCTTGTGCTTAGTGATGAAGCAAGTGGGTGCGTAAAAACCAAATAAGTTAGATAACGGAAATGCCTGCTGAGGAACAGAAAATGCCATTATGTAACAGAGCAATGTTTTAACACGCTGAAACCAACATTTTAACAAGCTGAAGCCAACATTTTAACAGTTGTGTAAGTGTAAGCCACGTTTCCTCTACATGTCCTTTGTGTCTACATTTCCTGGCTGTTTAGATAAGTGTTGCAAAAGCCAAACAGTGCTACACTTTATCTGGGAGCTACAGATAGCGCTGAAAAATGTGTGGTGTGAACCTTTAACACCAGTTAGGAAATTTAGCATTTGTTGTAATATGCATGCCTTAATGCCAATTTCAATACCAAAATGACTAAAGTTGGAGATGTGCGTGTATTACGCAAAATTAGTCTACATTTACTCTTGCTTACATTGTTTTACCATTTGTTTCTTTTGACATCTGAAGAAGTGTGCACTAGACTTTGGCAGATGTTGCTTTCAAAATGATCTGCTGCATATTAGTAAATATAAAGAAGGTAAAATGAGCTTAATGTGTGGCTTAGAGGGAAAAAACCTTCCTATACATTCTCATATAAAGTATAGTATAGACACAGAGGAACTTACACTCCTTGATGAAGAGGTATGTTAGTGTTAACATGACAGTGTGGCCACTATACAGATAATCTCCACACATGGTGTGGGAACCTGTGATTGATAGGCCCCCACCAGCAATCATCTTCATTATTCTCCTCGTCTGTGCCTCCCAGTTCCCGAGCAGCTGAAAGAAACACAGCCAATCATTACATCAGCTTTAGATCATAAAGAAAAATATAGCTGATAATATTGCAGATAACAGCTAAAGAAATACATGATGTGTAACAAATAAAAAAGGATGCAGAGGAGAGAAGAGAGAGAGAGAGAGAGAGAGAGAGAGAGAGAGAAGCACAACATGAGTTAATCCAAACAGCTGCGTTCATTTCTTCATGGCATGGGTGAAGACAGCTAGAATCAACTTTTCCATTGAGCCATGGATTCATCTGTGATGCCACGTCTCACCTCTAAATTTGCTTCTTTTTTTTCTTTGCAACTTTTTTCTTACAACACATCAAATTCTCTCACTTATGCTACAAACATTGCAGGGGGAACTCATTTGAGGGCCAGTTACAAAGTATCCAGATGCCTTACTTCATACAATATTGTAATACAGTGTAAAAAATAATTCACAAGGTATACTCCTGCATTTATACTTTTTAGAGTAAAGGACAAATGTTTTAGCAGCAAAATGTAGCTGAAGTATCAAATTTAGTGAATAAAGAATGGCCTCTTTCAATGCGTTAAAGCATTCGGCACTAACAAGCATTGTAATGCTTTTTTATAAATAAAACATTATCTGTCAAACTACTATTAATCAAATTAATCATCAAATAAATTCAGTATAAAGAGGATTTTCCCCTTTACATTTCCTCTAATGTATTAGTGGTACTGAGAAGCACAAAGTACAAACACTTGCAGTAAAAATATCTCAGCATTATATTTACAGTAAATACAGTACTTGAGCAGTAGTTTTTACTTGTAGACTGACCTCTTCAGCATTACCTCTTCAGCATTTATCATTTTGTTCACGTAAACAAACCTGTGTTATTGTTTGCATTTCCTGCCATAAAAGGAAGCACTGTAACAGCAAGTGAGGGTGTGGAGGATGAGATTGGTAGAACAGACTAAAGCACCACAGCTCATTATACTTCTCCTGCACTGTTCTCCTCCAACAAGTTGGTTTCTTTAAACCATAACTATGACTTCTTAATGACAATGACCTTAACACTCACATTTTTAATAAGTAGTAGGAAATTTTAGTTGCCTAAAGCTTGGCAGTATTTCTGATAACCGCAATAACCATACACTATTACGGTTTTTACCACTGGTGGTGCTTCTGAGCAATGTTTTGGTGAGTGTGTGCACATATTTGATGGTATTCTGTGTTCTAGCAGCAAGCACGCAAATGCTTTACGAGATGCACAGAGAACACAGAGTGTAATGTTTCTCTGAACAAGACGCCATTAACCCAACAGAAACACTGCACAGTGGCTTTGAGAACACGGGTATAAAACTGCTTCCCCAGCAGAGCAATTGCAACATTATCTAATAGGAACTACAAAAAAAGTGAAGCAAACCCTCAAAGCTCCTCTTATTCACATAAAAAATGGACATGCACATATCTTAAAATCGGCAGTCGGTGGAGAGCACTCAGAGGCTTTCAGCTTACAAAAGAGATCTAATTTTTTGCTGAATTTGCCCATTCAACACGGTTGCGCCGCAAGCGATTAAGTAAGAAAGAAGCCTTTCATGCTCAACCAACCTACAATGGTGATAGAAATAAAAGCGTATGTGTATTATACCTTTGGAGAGCATTTGAAGTGCATCCCAGGAACAGGCAGAGTGGTGATGTACATTGTAATACACCGGTACAGATAGAGTGTGCCCACAATGAAGAAGAACCGCCTGCCTATAATTGACCTGGGCAAAAAAGAAAGAAAAAGAAAATGAAAAATATGACATCTTTATTTAGTTGCAATTCAGATTCTAACATATTAACTAAAATATTTGGGTAAGTAACAAAGACTGTACCTGTGCTTGAGTAGGATCCACTGTATGAGCCAGAGTCCTACCAACAGCATGCCGTTAATCTCACAGATGGAGAAGGCCCACTCCACCCTGTTAAACAGGTCAAAGAACTTATCTGGCAGTGGTGGGGTATGCTCCTTTGGCGGTACTCTCTCATGGACCACTGAAATGACGACGGTGGTGGTGACAAAGCACACCACCGCATACAAGAATGCTATGCCCGTCTTCCCCCACTCGGCGGGGAATGAGGGCCGTGTAGTTTCCATTGTAGGGATGGGGATCTTGACCATCTCCCTTCTGAAGTCTTTCATCCCCAATGTGCCATTCCTCTGAGGCTTGCTAGTTCCGTTAGGTAGCCCACCGGCGTGCCCGTTTGCGTGGCCGTTTTTGTGAGCCTCTATATGAGTCTCTATCTGCAGTGTCTCCAGTCGCTCCAACAGCTGCTGCCCGCCATCAGACGCCACCAGCGAGAGGGGAGGCATATTGAAATCTGCCTCTGTGAGCCTGAGCAGGGCAGGACCATCAGTCCGACGGAGGGCATCTATGTACTCCGGCATCCCCTCCTTGCTCAGCCAATCGGAGACGTCCTCTGCTGACCATGCCGCCACCTTCATCATCTTGGCCAGTGGGCGATGTGGAGGATTAGGATGGTCCTAGAGGGGACGGTTCACAGGAGGTGTGGCTGTCTATGGGGCAATGGTAAGTCCTCTCCAGTTTTGGCACATGGTGTTTGTTGCGCCCAGAGGGAGCCCAGCCTCCTCTTGAAGAGATGGGGGTAGAAAGTAGGCAGCAGGGTCACTGAGGGTTAGGGCTAACAGATAGCAGGTGATCCACAGTGGCTTGCTTTGGCTTGCTTTACCTCATCGGCTCTTCTTCACACACTGCGCCCCTGTCAAAGGGAAAATAAAAATGCTGTGAGTCACAATGCAGTGGTTACTCTTCCATAACTCCACTGGGTGTAGTCATGGACCGGATGACGAGTCAGACCTGGAAGCTAGTATGTATACTCTGACTAAATAATAGAGCAGCACAGCCACAGGTTGGCCAGCTCTTAACTACTGAAAATCTCCAGGGAAACTACTTAAGCTCCATTTCACAGACATGAAACATTAAATAATAATTCACATCAATCTACAGTAACAGTATGAGGACCCAATCCATCAGCAACATCCTGAGTTGATTAGCTCTGTTGTTATACATGATTGTACATACAAGTAGAGAAGACACGTGACTCTTCACTTCACTGAGTAAGTGTCAGCTGTATACACTGGTCATTTTGAGCTACCCACACCAATGGGTTTTTGGTCCAAACCCACTATTATTAGACAACAGTGTGTAAATAGATCCAAGGTGAGCTGAAGGCATGGGAAAGTGATGGGCGGTTAAAGAAAGACAACATGTACAGTGAGGCTGTGAATGACCATTTGATAAGAAGTACAGACGGGGCCAAACACGAATAAATCTTGATTTCAACTGTTTACTGGAGTGGACTGCCAAGTCAACTGACCCATGTAATTCAGGTTAATTTATCAATTTATCACTCAAGACAAATAACAGAAATCCATGAACGGAGCAGACAAAAATACTATCAAAAAATTAAACAAAAATTCTTTCACAGATCTTGCTTTCTAACTTTGTTTTCCATAGTGTATGTTCCTCATCCGGGCTTCAGGCAACAGCCAAAGTTTAGCATTAAAATAGGGAGTGAACTCACACATCTGCTACATATCATGAGTTTGTTTACAGACCGCGATGTCTGTGGTGGACACAGGGTGGCCCTGCTTGTGTTGGGGGGGGGGCGAGGTACAGCTGGAGGCCAGTCCTGATCTACTGCATGCTTACGAGGAAAGAGGGGCGGATGGAAGGGAAACGGACTGCAAGGAGGAAATCATAAATCAGAATGAAGGTCAGCACTGAGCACTGACAAAGCCCCACCCCTGTTAGAGGGCAATCAGCCAGCAGTCAGGCCCCAGCACAGCACAGCCAGCTCAGCTAAGGCCAATAGCTGCTAAATACACTGGCAGGCTGGCTAGTTGGCAGGACAACAAACTGCACATCAGTACCTCGTCTCACCTCGTCTCAGCTCAGAGGCCTGTTCATTTAGGCCAGCAAAAACAGGGCCAAATAAATGGGCTACAAGCTGGGTCGTCTACAACTCTGACAACACCTGGCATCAGATTTATTCCTGCTGAGGTCTGGAGAACAATTTGACCCGATAACCCCGCAATTCTAACGTAACATTAAAAACACTAAAGAGCAAGTGTAACAATAAACATATGGATGGGATGCAAACAGCACAGCATGAGAGTCCTCACTGCAACAGCTTAGCTACGTGACAACCCAGCTGTGCTGCATCAAAGTGTTAATAGTGTTAATAGTGTACTATTCAGACAGATCAGAGATTAACTGTCAATGAGTCAGCTGTGTGCTGAGGACCTTTGGTCTATGAATCAGCTTACAGCGGGCCCAGTGGAGAAATAATCTCACTCAACTGAACTGGGAAAAACAAACTAATCCTGAATCCAATAAACTAACCTGTATCTTCCTAGGTATATGAATACAGCTGTCTCAGAAATACTGGAAGGGTTTTGTCATTTTTATGCTCAAGCTGTGTAAATTAGGAGGTTCAGAATGAAAAGTTGACCGTCATCTTGGGAATCGGATCAGAATGCATGGAAATAAAGCCAGGAAATTGCCATCCTCTGAACAAAGGTTTATTTTCTCCAAAACTCAAAAGGAACTGCCTTTATGAACATAAATGCAGAACAAAAACGAACATCAGAAACTCCGCCCCATGCGAAGGTGAAAGAGTGAGTGAGAGGGAGTGCGGTCTTTAAACAAGGGGTGATCAGGTTAACTTAATCAGTTAAATGTGGGCCAAAGGTGAAAACAAGAGCTTATCTGTGACGAGGAATGAAGGTGAGGTAAAGGAACAGAGGTAGGGGATGAAAGGAGAAATGAAAGGAAGGACCATGAAATGTAATGGTAAAGTAATGATGGGAAGAGTACGGTGCTGTGCTATTATTTTATTATTCAAACACCTGGGAATGGAGGAAAAGTACCTGGACTACATATGTACGCATTCCATCGGCTGTAAACTGCCCGTGGAGTAGTATGAGGTTATGGAAAATGCATGTTTCATCCAAGTAACTCCCTGTGTGCTGAGGATAACCAACACCTGATGGCCAAGTAGAACGGCTTTGATAACAAAAATGTTTCTGCCACAAGCAAAACAGGTGGAGATCTGACCAAACACGACTTCGGGACATATTGTTTGAGAGCAGAGAACTACAAAAACAGAGGAAAGTCTGGAAATGCTTCAGCCTTATGATGTTGTGAATTTTGATATGAGATTAAAGAAAAACAATGAAGCTACTCCCTACAACAATGAGTCTGACCTTGAAAGCTTTTTGTTTCCTGTCAGAACTTTAGTAAATGTGACAACACCAGAGGAAGACAACACGGAAAAATGGGATTGTTACGTGCCACCATTGAAATCTATTTTCAGCGTTCAGGCGTGTGCTTGCCGAGTTTTATTGTCAAATGTTTACTTGTTGCAGGCAAGCTGCTACTTACGGCACTGATTGAGATTAAGGAAGTGGCTTTTTTTTTTTTTTTTTTAAACCTGGCCGCAATAAGAGCACACCCACATGATGCTGGGGTCTCTGAAGGTGACATAAGCCAACCAACTCAATAACCAACTGAACTTTGAGTTTTAACACTGCTCATAAACAAGCACAGTGTTTCTAAAGTGATAAACGAGCACCTGCTTACTGAAGTGATAAAACAGGCGAGCGGGTGTCCTGCAGATCAATAAACAGGAGGAAACGGGGTTGCAGAGAGCGCATACTAGAGCTACATTCAGCGACTTGTGCTTTGCTTTCATTCTCCAACGGTGCTTTTACATGCAAAGCAAACATTTCCTTGCTTTAACCATTCAAATTTGACTGCTAGAAAGATTTTCGGTATAGCACAGATGGGTGCTGTAGCATAAAAAACAAGCACTACCTCTTGATGTGGTGTGTGTGTGTGTGTGTGTGTGTGTGTGTGTGTGTGTGTGTGTGTGTGTGTGTGTGTGTACAGCTCACATGGGCAATTTTCTAAATCTACCAGCAACCTCTAGTAGTTTCATTTCTTCACCTCCACGTGCCCCTGGTGCGTTCACGTGATCCCTCCTCTATCTCTCTCGCCCCTTTCCTGTCTGTCTAACTTCATCTGTCCTATCAAATAAAAAGGCATAAAAAAAAAAACACAAAAAAAAAAAAAAAAAAAAAGTTATCCTTATATCTAAATTCAGTCAATTGCACATTTGGCAGGGAGCACTGTATACACTTGCCCAAACTTAGCCAACTGGTTTACAATTAGCATTTTTTACATCACTTAACTTTGCTTTCTTGAAACCATTATTTACCCGCTGTAGGTTCTTCTCTTTTTCAGCATCCCTGCTTCCACACACACACACACACACACGCACAGTTAGTCTGGTCTGTCGGCAGGGGAGTAGTTTGGATCAAAGTGATACCACACCTAAAATCTTTTCAGTATACAATGCTCGCCTTCTGAAGGCTTTTCAGGTGGCTGTAAAAAAGTTTATAATCTGCTCTTTTACAGAAAATGGAGGCTGTGGTCAGCTGTATCCATGGATTATAACAGTGACAGTACAAATTAAAAAAGGCCCCACAAGTTCATATGAAATTATAATGATAATTTGTTCACTTCACAGAATCTGTAACACACTTAGTCATGATTCTTTTTTGTGTTTAGGAAGTAGACTACCAGAGTTTTGGGTGGAGTACTTCATCTTGATTTCCTACATATCGAGGCAAATTGCTAATCTATGTTTATACACACTGGGTCAAATGATAATACATTGTAATCTATAGACCTGCCCTGCACAATGCCTGTGTATTATAGCTCCAAAAAGACAAACAATGATTCTACCGACGTTACTACAGCAACCCAGTCACATTTGTTTATTAGCCGGAGCATTATGTTCACCATGAGCAATGTTATCTTTGCTACCGTGGGACTGTGCCTTTTTCACTGCCTGTTCTGTCTGACACTATACAGCCACCACAGTTTAGAAGTGGCATGTAGCTCGTAGCCCTACACTATCTAGTCTTAAAAAACAAAAGACACCAAAATAAAAACCCCAAATAACTGTAGCCCATCAGGTTACATTGTATTCAGCTGCACTGGATTAACCACAAGTTGAAAGCATGTATTTAAAAAATTCAACTTTTAAAAAAGTGTTGCAGAGTGTTGTGTGGGGAGGAGGGCCAGGCGGAGCCGAGGTACAGCGCCAGTAGACTGATACTGAGTGCCAGGGAGTTTTGGGGGAAGAAAACTGAGGGCAGAGCTAGGGCTTCAGGATGAATAAAGACCCGGAGTTGCATCAGATTCTGCTCTAATCTGGCAGGACGAGGCTCAGATTACTTTTTAAACTACTCGCAGCAGGAAGCTGTAGAGGTGTAGACAAACTGTCACAGACACACCCATTGGTGCCCGCCATTGCTTGCTAGCTGTATTGTGGCTGTTTCGGGTGTAGAAACACAAATGATCCCACAGTCAAATTCGTGCAAGCATGCGAGGCAAAAATTTGCTTGCTGTCTGTGTGTGTACATGCGAACACACCATTATTGATCTACAACAAGTATCGAATGTTGAGAAACTCTAATTCTAATTGCAATTTCTAATTGCAATTTCTAATCTTTAAAAAAAAAGTATTGAAAAAAAAATAAGTTACATTTTGGTATACTATTCAACACTACTGCTAGATCCCACTAAATCCTACACACCGGACCTTTACGACAGCCCCTGCAGAGTTTTCTTGCAAACAAACAAAAGCTATGTTTACATTACGAACTGATTGTGTGCATCTTGAGGTCT